TAAATGAGTATAGGTAAGTTTTCATTTAGCTATACTGTGGAAAAAGAAATACAGTAATAAATAGGGACTAATGACTGATAAATGTGAGACTCATGAACCTAATTATTGTTTATTTGGACGGGTAAGACCACTGAGCATTAGTAGTTTATCCCAGATTCGGTTCCCATTAATAAAAAAACGAGTTGCATGGGGCTTCAATGTTTTATCCATGTGAAACGTGAAGCTGACTAAGATATCCTTAAAGATATGCTTTCTAAAGTAGGTAGCCCTCTCGTGCTTTGCCAAAATTAATTAAACAACCAATCAAATGCCATAAGAATGAAAACTAACGCAGTACTTTTATTTACCATGCTTGATGTTGTAAAGTAGCATAAAGCTTTTTCTAAGAAAAAGGGAAAAAAAACTAATAATTGAAAATAAAATTACAACACATCATGTGAATATGGATGTCTAAGCTGGGTTTAAATTGAAGTGTTTATATTTCCTTGAATTTCATAATTTAAGAAAATCTTTATTTGCTGTTGCGGAAGCTCTCAAACAAACTTCGGTACTTTTCCGTTTGGCCGGCGCAAATCTCGCCAAGCAGACTTTATTGGCGACAACATACAGTATACACATAAAAAATATTAAAAAAAAATGTTAGTTCTAAGAATTCTTTTTTTTGAAGGCATAAACATTTTAATATCACTTAAAATTTTATAAAAAGCCAATAAATAAAGACAATAAATTTGTAAAAAGACATTAATTTAAGAATTTACTATGCTTTCATGGTTCAACATCCCGATTCACCGGTTCATATCACGTGACCCCAAGCGATCTCATCTCACGTAAACTACTCTACAAAAATCTAATGCTCTTAGTAATTATCTACATTAATTTCAAGTTAAATCTTAATTTGGAACACAAGTTTAAATGTAAGAAATATTTCAATTCGTACGAATAGCTTACTCAGAAATTATGTAAAAACTGCAGTGTTTACTTCGCTAATGCATTCTCATTAGAATTGATGAATTTAACCCCTTGACTTTACCTTTTCTATATTTTCGGCTTCGGGTAAGCGCTGTGATTGCATCCTAACTGACTTAATTACCGAAAATGGCCTTAGACATAAAACTGAACTATCTGATAAAAATTCTATGTAATTATATGCCAGTATTGAAAGAAACAATCAATCTGATATAAAAGCTGCGACTTGTTTTGAAAATGAGGCGTAAAAGGTTACCAGCGAGAATATTCCGTTTGGCATCGGTTATACCATTATTGGCGACTTTATCGCTTTGCGCCGGCAAAACGGAAAAGTACCCAAACTTCTTCATAAAGCCTCATCTGAACCCCGTATATTCGCGGTAGGGATATTAACAGGCAACTATGCTGGTGATAATCAGATAATTCTTATCGCAATCTCATACAGCAATTGCGTTTCTTAAAATACGACTGCAATGCAGAAAAATTCTTATAGCTATATTAACGACAGAACAAAAATAATGTTTGTTTCCACTCTTTACACAGCGGAACATTTATAATGAGCATATTTCATAAAGCGCGCTTTCGTAATTATGTAAACATACAGAAAAAATATGATTAGGAAAATGCCTGACCATCCTAATTCGCCTGGGCTCGAACCCAAGTCAAACTACTAACATTCAGCGATCTTAATCACGGGCCTGAAGTTTATGAGAACGTTTAAGAAATATCAAAACAAAATCTTTTCAGCAAAAAAAAAAAAAAAAAAAAAAATATAAATAAATAAATAAATAAAAATTCATCCTTCATAAATAAAATGACTTATTGAAATATCTGGTTTATATTTATATTTTAATTACCTAGACACAAATTATATTTGATTTAAAGAATACCATTTAAAATAGAGAAGTCGAATAATTTAAATTAATGTTAAGAACATTTTAACTTATATAATGTAAACAATTTTTTTTTTTTTTTTAAATTTTTCCTCCCTTACAAATTTATGTTTCTCACGTCAATTTATTTAATGTTCTAGCCCTTGAGAAATGAAACAAAAAATTAGTATATGGTTTTAAATTCATCGCTGGCACAGTAAAGAATGGCTACAATGAGGAAATTTTGTAGTTCATTGAGTGTGTTTGTACAGAATTTTCAAAACCTATATACATAACCTATATATATAAAACCTATATTCTTCTCTAAGCGAGAAGTACAGATGAAACCGCGGAACACTTTTAATATAGGTAAGAAATATTAGTTAAACTAGTAAAAGTAATCTAACATCTTATTTTTGTGACATTTTAAACTGAAAAAAAAATGCCTACGTTTCCAATGATGATTTTTTTAAATCTTCCACCTATGGTAGAACGATAACAGTCGTTCCGGTTCAAAAGTATGGTACTATATAAGGTTACTCGATCTGCTAATGGATTTGCAAAAATTAAAGAACAAGGAGTATGTCCATGATAGTTCAATCAGCAGATCAGTCAATCAGTTGTGGCACAATCGAAGTTGTAGGCTCAAATGCATTTGGAAACGAGGTGTATCAGTAGTATTCTCTGAGAAACTCTTCCATATTTTTTTAATTTGAAACATTTTGATTGCCACGAAGAAAGTTATTCGAATGATCATAATACGTTGACTTACCTCAAAATAATTCAAATGATCATGACGCCCTTTGAAAGATAGTAGGAAGATTTGCTTCTACCTAAGGTTATGGTCTGTAACGGAGTGCCCTTCACACAGCAGTTGAAGCTGCTGACAATGCCTTTTATATGTCTATTTGCAGTTCATGGAATGAACAATTTCTTGTACCGTCTCTGTAAACGACAAGGGCTTCACCAACGGCTGAATGGTAAAGACCGCTGAATACAGGAAGTTGGAACTAGGTTCGATCACAGGCGAAAGGAGTGGCTGCATGGTTGGTTTTCCCTGTGTATATAATATGAATATGAACCAGTTTCCCTTAGCAAGTCCTCCACGTTAGTATCCCTCTCTTTAGGCAGATAGCCGTTACGAGCTTTGCCATATAAGAAAACAAATTTAAGTCCTTTTGATCCAAAGTGGGTACCACTGCGTTACTGATGCCTTTGAAATTCTAATTTTTCATGATTCCCGAATGTATCTTTACCATATACTCTAAACGCAGCACTTAACAAATGAAAAGGGGTAATTTCTAGTGAACACAGCAAAAATACACTAAAAATTTAAAATACGTTTGCTTTTACTCCATTTTTTAACAGTCTTTTCTAATTTTGTTTCTTTCGCTTTAAGAAATGCAAAAATGTAGATGCATAGCGTTTTGGCATTTTAAAACACTAAATGTCATGATCAAATTTCTCAACATAAAAAAAAAAAAGAGAAGGCTGCTTTTGAGGGACTTAAAATAGAAATATTTTACTCTAAACAAAATTGTACTTAGGCGAGGAAGGAGAGAGATTTGTCTAAGCGAATCTAGAAGTGTTAGAAAGCCGTAAAATGAAATGTCATTGAAGTATTTTTATTTTAAGTGTGCATAATTTACTGTGATAATGTGTATAGATGTAAATACAAACACCAGGTAGGTAAATATGAACACAATTTTCTTTCCCTTCTTCATTTTCGCTGTTTTTTACCCTCCTCGAAACTACATCTACACAGCATTTAAACTTCTTGAATCTATTTCGTAGTGCAATGCAGAAGTTTTTGCTTATATTTGTACCAAAAATATTAAAATTCCTTTTATTACTGTAGCACTTAAAAATAATGCGACATTATATAAAAAATAAATTGTAATAGTAATAATAATTGTGTGTATAAGGTAAGAGATGAAAATCTAATATTATTCACCTTCAATAACATTTATGGTTAAAAAATTTAACCTTCAATAAAATTTAACGTTCTGTTAACATTAAATTTAATTAAAATATATACCACTTCGCTTCCTACGAATTTCTTTTAAACTTTAGGTTTTAATTTATTAATTTAAATCACCCACATGATAAATGTTAAAGCAGTAACAAATATTATTGTAGTAGTGCATGTAAGGAATCTCAGTGCACATTTTTAGGTTATTTAATGCGGTAAAGGCTCGAGGGCTACCTGCCTTAGGATGGCATTCTCCTGGAGGAATTTCAAACTGAAAATACATAACATTTTTAGCCCAATTTTAGCGGCAATTTTAAAAAACAAGAAACACTGTACATAATTCTTTTCATCCGACAGTCAGTTAATTAACTATTAAAATTTATAAATATTAATTTTCTGTATAAAAATAAGTAAGTAAACTTGATATCCTTTCCTGTAAATGAAAGTAACTGTTTAACAACCAAAAATAAAAATGTCTATGTATGTTAATCAGTCTATTAGGGGATACTGATCGCAGCTAATCATATTTTTCGATAAATTGCATTTTCTGTTACTAATCAAATTCTCTTCTTAATTTTAACGATTCTTTCATCAGTATTATGTACATTAAAAATTCCATCTTTCCCAAGTATCAAAGTTATGTTTACTAATGAGATGTTAAAAAAATTATTTCATGTTATGAGAAGAAGTATTATTGATTTCTTCGGAATTATGTCCTTCATACACTAATTTATTGAAATTTGATATCAATCTCAATCAGCGAATATAAATTTGGTAAAATTAAGATATAATTAATGCATTGCTTATATAAAAACATATCAGCATTATGCGCTTTTGTGTCACTATCTAATAAACCAAAAAATGGTTTGAATCATGATTCTGTAAGAGGATAACACATGAAGAATGTATAAAGTTATATTTGATGTTCAGCATGAAAGCATTCAATAATTTGAATTGCCGTTAGACATTATTTGTAGATAATCATTTACTGATACTTCATACACGATATTATAAATGCACAAACAAAACAAAAATAGAAAAATACGATCTTGCAATAACTCGGAAGAAAAAGGTATTCCTCATCTAAACCTCACGCTTAAATTATTCTACGAATTATAACTTATGAAGCTAACTGGCTCTTTTTGTCTAAACACAAAATAAATATAAAAATTATATAGAAATTTATTTACCATTCGAAACAGTCTTCAGTATTAAAGTCCAAGATCTCCACAGTCGCATTCGAAGGAAGAGCTGTATTATAATTTAATAAAATAATAGGAGAATTTTGCTTAAAAGCTAAGAGTTTCTCCGTCAAGAAGAAACACAAACACAGAAATATATAAATTAAACATCCTATTGTTGAAATGCGAATCGACATTATTATTATTACATTAACTTCCACGTGGAAAAGTATCCCACTTAAAAAAACTACGTTGATCAGCAATACGAAGAGTCGAACACTTGAATAAGCTCGCAGTAACTCAGCTTGTATTAACAAGTGCGCAGGCGTTGTCGGTCAAAAACCTGTTTTGAAGACCGCTACCTGGGAATCAAGCAAAGGTCAGGGAACCTAAAAATTGCGTATTCCCAACAGTCTGATTCTAGGTTAGGTATCATCCCTGAGAGTAAAAACTACGTCGCTCGCTCGCATATTATCTGTGAGACATACTTTATCTACGAGACCCATTCTCTCTCTTTTTCCGTTTTTTTTTTTTTTTTGTTTTTTTTTTTTTTTTTTTTTTTTTTTTTTTTTATTTTTTTTTTTTTTTTTTTTTTTTTTTTTTTTTTTTTTTTTTTTTTATTAGCTTAAAGCTCGATTTGTTTCTGTGAGTTTTAAAACAAATATTTTCATTAAAAATTAATAGTAGTTTATTTCCTTTTCCCATCACATTATTAAAGTAGTATCTTTTGATATTTTCAAGAACTGAAACTTTATCTGGTAGATATTACTTTGGTATTATCTTCAAGAACTGAAGCGTTACCTCGTAAATATTAGGCGAATATTTTTCTCTCCGATGGTCGTAATAGAAAGCAGACAGAGGGTAGAGAAATAAGCAAGAATTTGTAATGGATGTGTGTGCGGAAGTGATGCTTTGAGGTGGTACAGACCCAGGGATAAATAGAAAGGGCTATTTTATTCCTTTGTTCGACGTCTCGCCGACGCGAACCTAATGGGGGGGGACTTGACTGGCAGTAATCTGACGTCATTGTAATGCACCCATGGACCTTATAAGGTCCATGAATTTACCTACTCTGATTTCCCGCTTTTAAAACTGTAGTGTTATTCAGCTGCGAGACGATTTTCTAGAGGTTACATATCCCAAATTAATTTTAGTCATATATATTTGTTTTCTAATAATGTAAATATTTAAAATAATTTATATATATAATTTTAGTCAGTTTTTATTTTAAATTCTATATTGTAAAGTATCGTTTATGCAATGTGGCTTTTTGCACTGTAGTAACGTGTCGTAGCACTTACGAAAGGATGAGTTACGAGTACGAGAGGATGAGATATTTTATTTCATGGGACCAAAGGACCCAAATGAGAATTTGCTTTTGAAGAAAGAATGGATACACAAACGTCAAAGACAAAATTCTATTAATGTGAAGAGCGGAAAAATCTGCAGCGAACATTTTCTATGCAGTGTTTATGAAGATTATATGAAAAATCGCTTATTTTTGGATAGCCACAAAAAGATGAACTGCTTGAAATACAAGTTCTGTGCCGAAAGTAAATTTACTCTGTGCAGTAAACGAAATAACACCAAGAAATCGGAGACAATAGAAATCGGAAACTAAATGTACAGTACTTTTAAAAGACTACATGAATTAAGCCCAGAGAAAATTCATTTTGAGGCCGAAAACGAAATTGGTAATGACAATAATAAATCAAATGTGAGTGATTTTTGAAATAAAACTCACAAATGAAAAATGTAGATATTCCTGAATGCCCTAAGTTTAAAGATAAACAAGAATGCATTTGATAATTTAAAAGAACAAAATAAATATCCTTTAGAAAATTGTATTAAAATATTGAAAAATAGAGAAAAAGAAAAATTTTAGAATGTTTGTTCAGCGACAAGGAAGGTGGACGACATCTAGAAAGAAATTGGTATCAGAAATTAATATCTCAAATAGCGAAATTCCGGAAAAAAAAAAAAAAAAAAAAAAAAAAAAAAGCACAAATCGGAGAATTTGAAAAACGTCTAAAGCCTATTTTTATAAAGACGCAGATTAATGCATAGCTGAAAAAGAAGGAAAAAATCAGGTAGACTAGTGAACATATTTCACGTTGCATTGTCATAAGAGCTCTGTCATTTTAAAGCTATGATTTTAGAAAAAAAAAAAAAAAAAAAAAAAAAAAATGGAATTCCTTTACCTAGTATTAGCAAATCAAAAATGGTGGGCTAAATTTTAGTGTAATCCAAGAATTCAAAGTGATGTTCTTACTCTAAAGAAGGAAAGAGGGCGAATATTTGAATTCTGTAGAAAAAATATTCGTTCTCAGTTTCGACGAAATGCATATAGTTTGAAAACTCTGCTTTGACTCTAAACTGGGCCAAGTTCTCTGTTTCTTTCAAAATATGCAGTTTTTTTTTAATCAGAGATCTCATTTCGCGTTCTGCCTCAAATTACTGAGAAAACACGTTTTAGATAAAGGATTTGTTTTAGAAGACGGAACTGTTTTAAATTTTGATATTATTAAAGAGGTTTTAAATAGAGATTCAGAAGAAATCAAATTGTGTCGCAAACTAAAACCGAATTATTTAATGGTCAAGGGAAACGAGAGACAAAAAGTCGCTCCAGCGGAAACATTATTTTCAAGAACTACCGCAAAAGGTATACTCCACCTCACAGGAAATCAAAAAAGCATCTGACCACTATGAGTTAATGGATAATATCTTTATTACGAATAGTACCAACAAGAATAACAAGTACTTAAACTAATTTTGTTAAGTACTTGTTAAATTTATTTAGAATAGATTTAACATAAATTAAATGCATTAAATAAAAAAACCTGCAAAAATAATAATAATAATAATAATAATAATAATAAACCACGGAACTTTATGTTAAAAGAGTAGCGCATTTTATCTATTATTTTTAAATTGAGTAAGTATTATTAAATTTTTTAATGGTTCAGTATAAAATGCATACAGCAGTAATATTGTATCTTCCAAATTATAGCTATCTTTCGCACACAGCTCATTTTATACGCTGGTTCAAAAACGCTAATTTCTAAACTGTAAATTGCATCTCCGCGCTCAGCGTCATCATGACTACGTCATCATGACTACGTCATCATTTCTCACTTTCTGCTTCAGGGGGAAAAGCTGTATGAGCTAGCCCTTCTCTACTAAGTCCTGGTACAGACCACTGTTGAGGGATAGATAAAAGTGTTTTGCTGGCGTAAATCCCCGTGCGGTTTCGAAGGGGGTCTGCGTTCGTTACATGAACTTGAAAATCGCCGATGTGCATTTTTGCATTTTGTCTATGGAGTTACAAACGGAGATAGATAAGCTGTCTGAAGGAGGTAACTCGGAAATCGTTTTAGCCGCAGTGTCATGGATAAAATATATTGTAAAATCCACGAGACTGCGGCTAAGACGATTCCCGAGTACCTCCTTTGGTCTTCCGCACGGAAAATCACGATTTACGCTAACAAAACCCTTACCAACCGCTCAACAGCGCTTTGTACCACCTCAACACGCCATTTGGGCATACGCATTCTATTATAAAATCTTTTTTTTTTTTTTTTTTTTTTTTTTTTTTTTTTTTTTTTTTTTTTTTTTTTTTTTTTGTTTTTTTTTTTTTTTTTTTTTTCGCTTCGCTGAGCCTGCTTTAACATTCCCCAGACACTTTTGTATCACCCTGTACTATTTCAAACAAGTTGTTGCAAAGTTATTCTGCATTTATTCATACTTAAAATTTTTGAAGCATTTATTTATTTATTGTCTGAATGATACTACATTTCAATGTTCTTAAATATGAAAAATGCATGCATTTCAAATACGTATTTTTAATCTTATAATGGAAAATACCCTTTTCCAAATAAATTAGTTAACACAAACACCCGTATATTGTTCTTCCAAAGCACTCTTAAAATTGAAATTATTTATTTTTTATTTTTTATTTTTTATTTTTATTTTTTTTTATTATTTTTTTTTTTTTTTTTTTTTATTTTTTATTTTTTTTTTTTTTTATTTATTTATTTATTTATTATTTTTTTTTTTTTTTACAGTTCAGTTGGTTTTCTGAAATAAAATCTAATTGCATATCTTTCATAAAAGTTAAGCATTCAGAAAATATCTTTTATAATACGAGTAAAATCATTTAATTTTAAAAAGTCGTTCCGTACTTCACTAAACCGGTTTAACCTTTATTTGTTTAATCGAATACGGAAGGGCACTCCGTATCTTAGTGAAGAGTTATCTGCCTAAGGGAATGATGGTTGGATAACTTCTTAGACGTTAGGTTAATTCATTATGACAAATCCCCGGAAGTCTCTCTGCCTGAGGGGAGGAATGCATTCGTGGAAGATTTTCAAAGAGAAACTAGCTTGTATTCACGTTACATAAAGCCGAAACCACAAAAATATCCATGCAGCCAATCTGTTTTCTGGGCTCAAACCCAGATTAGACTACCGCTTTCGTGGAAGGCTTTAAGGGTGGACATGTTAAGTGAGTAAAATAAAGCCCACTGGTGTTACTTACCTAATGAGAGGGATGGCTTTCTACAGAACTAGATAAGGTCAACTGGCTCGTATTCATGTTACACATAAAAAAACTATGAAAATATTTATGCACTACAAGGGAAATTGGGTCGTATTCGCATTACAAACGGAATATCCATGTAACTAGCCGATTCACCAGGATCCAAATCTGAGTCGGGTCTATCAGGGGCGGTGTTGAACACTAGTAGTTCGACTCGAGTTCGATAGCAGGCGAACGGGCTGGTTGCATGGACATTTTTGCGGTTTATCCCATATGTAACATGGATGCGAGCCAGTTTCACTTAGATTCTAAAAGAAATTTGCCTGTATCTACATTACAAGATTTTTCTAACCCTTAGAAGTCCTCCACGAAGGCACCCTTTCCCTTAGGCAGATAGTCCTTGCATGCTTTGCCGTAATCAAATAAACCACACCAAACCGAAATCCGACTCAAGTTATTAGCGATGAACCCTCTTATCCACACTGCCAGTGTTGAGCCTATTTTAACCCTAAGGTGAATATAGACTTTGGCGTTCAAGAACTGATACATGGGGCAGTCTGCTACCCTACTATAAAAACAGTGATATCGTAATTAAAATACTTTAAAAAAATTAATTCTATTCAGAATTTGTGAAAATGGGTACTATTCGGTTTTGAGCGCCGTAAAAAAATTGCAGCGAAAATGTATGCGCAAAAGCGCCAAATCTAGCAAACGCGCCTATTTAACAGCGCGCCAAATCTAGCGT